CCAACAGCAACCAAGGCTCAACTACAACAGGACAGTGCACACAGCCCACACAGGGGAGCACCTAGAAGGTCCAGCTCAGGTGACTGGGGAGGCTGAGCCACTGGACCCTACAGGACACCTACTACACAAAGCTACTCTACCAATTCCAGGAGACATAGCAGCTCTACCTAATACATAGAAGCAAACACCTGGAAGCAACCAAAATGTGGAGGCAAAGAAACACGTCACAAAGGAAAGAATAGAAGAAATCTCTAGAAAAGGAACTAAATGAAATAGAACCAAGCAAGCTAACAGATACAGATTTCAGAATAATGGTTATAAGGATGCTTAAGGATATTAGTAAGAGTACAAGGGAAATAATTGAGAAAATCGATGACATAGTAAAGTACCAATTTGAAAGGAAGGCTACACGAACTGAAATGAAGAATAATTTACAGGGAATCAACAGTAGAGTAGAGGACACTGAGAATCAAATCAGCAATTTGGAACATGAAGAAACAAAAAACACCCAACAGAAGAGCAAAAAGAAAAAATAATCCAGAAGTATGAAGATGGCATAAGGAGCCTCTGGGACAACTTCAAGAGGCCCAACTTTTGTATTATTGGGGTGCCACAAGGAGAGGAAAGAGAGCAAGAAATTGAAAACCTATTTGAAAAAATAATTACAGAAAACTTCCCCTACCTGGTGAAAGAAATAGACTTACAAGTCCAGGGAGCACAGAGGGTCCCAAACAAGAGGAACCCAAAGAGGCCCAAAGCAAGACACATCATAATTAAAATGCCAAAGGTTAAAGACAAAGAGAGAATCTTACAAGCAGCAAGAGAAAAGCAATTAGTTACCTACAAGGGAGGGCCCATACGACTGTCAGCTGATTTCTCAACAGAAACCTTGCAGTAACTCCTTTTCAAGGGCTCAATAACCACATGTGGCTAGAGACTACCATAACGCACGATGCAGATATACAGCATTTTCATCGTTGAAGAAAGTTCTGTCAAAAAGTGCTGACGAGTGCTAGGAATTTTATGAGTTGGTAATGATATCTTCTAACATTTCTTGATATTTTAAGTGTGCATCTAACACCACCTTGGTGTCATTCTTTAAAAGTGTCACCTTTTTAAAATGAAATCTCTGGGAGCATCCGGTGGAGGTTACCTTTGGGAAGAAAATAAGTCCCTCTGAGCGGTTACATTTCTTAGAACCAAAGGTCTTTTCCTGAAGGTTACACTGACACAGAGGATTAACACCTTTTCGTTACTCTTGACACCTTTTGTAAATGAATTCCCAGAGTAGTTTTATTTTAGTCAATCCTGTCTGAAACTATTCACATTCTTTACTCCTAACTCTTCTCTATCCCTAAATAGGTTAACGGCTGTGTAAGACCTGAAGGGCTCACTAATGAATTCATCCAAGTCATCATGCTTGTAAAATTGTGTTTCTATTGTAAGAACTACCATTGGATATTACAATAAAATATTGTGGGAACCCAAAACTGAACCAAAACATAAACTAAACTTAGCCATCTATTCATTAATTCATTCAACAAACATCTAGGCACTAGAAATAAAAATTAACAGTTCCTCCAGGGATCCTATAGTCTAATGGAGAGTTAGATGGAAATAAATACAAGAGCCAAGGAC